GGGGGAAGTGGTTTCTGATGTACTCTGTGTTCCTACACTTGATTTTTCCCTTCTCAGCATTCCTGCATTAACTAGAACTGGGTATACTGTTACGTTCCAAGATTCTGAATGTTATGTTAATAAAGAGGGGGCTGAGTGTGCTAGAGGGGAATTGGTTAATCAATTGTATGAAATGCTTCCTAAACAGGATGTGTTGATTGGAAGTTGTGTTGGTAATGTACCTCTACATAATGATTGTATTCATTATTATCACAGAGTGCTTGGTCATCCTGGATGGAACTGTTGGTCACAAATGTCCAAGGTGTATCCAGAAGTGAGATTTAAAGAGTGTGCAAAGTTTCTTGATTGTACTGTGTGTAAGCAATCTAAGATCAGGTCTGCCCCTGTTGCTAGAAAAAGTGGAAGAGTAACCACCAGATCTCTTGCACTAGTACATGGTGATTTAGTTGGACCTTTCCCTCCAAGTGAAAGTGGAGCAAGATTTATGTTTGTTTTAGTAGATGATAAATCACGTTTTACGTTTTGTTATTTGCTTAAACAGAAATCAGCAGCATTCTCTCATTTCAAAGAGTTTGTTGGCATGGTAGAGAGGAAACATGGGCATAAAATCGGGAGCTTGCAAACAGATAGAGGGAGTGAGTTCATCAGTCATGAGTTTCAGAATTGGTTGCGTAAAAAAGGAATTTTTCACAGATTAACAAATGTTGGTATGTCTGCAGAAAATGGCATAGCTGAACGAAAAATTGGTGTGTTAAAAGTCCTTAAACAAAGTCTGATGTTGGATGCTCAAGTACCAGCCCATTTCTGGGGTGAAGCAATTCTAACAGCAGTATTTCTCACTAATAGACTCTGGAATTCAGCTGTAAATAAAAGTCCTTATTTTTTGCTATATGGCAAGTATCCTTCTTTAGAGCACTTGCGTACATTTGGAACTTTTGCTTATGTACAAATTCCTAAGTCTCAAAGAAGGAAGAACCAACCAAAAGCACAACATTTAAGGTTTGTTGGTTATTCAGCTGAATCTAAAGCCTATCGGTTTTCTTTGGGCCATGGTCAGGTTGTAATCTCTAGAAATGCTAATTTTGAAGAGCCTACTGATTGGAAAAGGCTAAATGCAAATTC